AGCGGAGTTATTTCAGGATCTCTCAGAAGTGGGGGGCCTGGGGTCCCATCCTGCGCGGTCCTGGAGGGAAGTCGCCTGTCTCTCTGCTCAGCACACGCTCGTCCGATGTGCTGGAGGAGCAGGGGCTTCTGAGCAACAGGCCCGCTCGGCCTGACAGTCTGCGTTTTGCGCAGCAGCTTGTAAAACCTCCGGGAGCGTGTGCTCTCTAAGCCCCGGGATCACGTCCACGACCCAGTCAGATTCCCTCAAGCCCTTCTCTTCCTTTGCACACGTAGTAACTTCCCTCTTCTCCGTCCAGACGCACCCACCACCCTTTTCTACCTTGTTCTCTGAGCCCAGAGACGGACAGGTGTGAACTCCACGCAGTGGCTTCCCGCTGGGCTCCGCAGCGAGCGGCCAGGGCAGCGGGGCGCAGCGGAAAGGAAGGCCCTGGTGGCTGCTCAGCGGGCCCCTCGGCTCCACCCTCCGGGGAAGCTGAGGCCCGTCTCCCCGGCGCTCCTGGCTGCGTTTCCCTTCCAAGCCTCGGGATGGCAACGGCCCGCTGTTGCTGTCCCCTGGGGACTGCCCCGTGCTTCCCACTCCCTGCCCACTTAGGTAAAGCGCCTCTTGATTACAGTCCACGCCGCACACCCAGTTCTTGTCTGTCTGGATGCTAATTGCTTCCCCTTCATCATTAGAGCGGCCGCCATCAGTCTTCTGTGCCTCTGCCTTCTCCTCTCAAAAAAGTACCTTGAAACGGAAGTTCGGCCTCCTTAACTTCCTCCTCCAATTCTTTATCAAAATTTACTATACGGAGGGGTTTCTGCAAATCACTACGTATGATTTGCAAACACAGGAACATAAAATCATCATGAAGTCTCAATGAATTCAATAAACTGTATTATTAGAAAAAGGACAGTAGACACAGAAAAGTCTTTTGAAAAAAATCCAGCACAGTTCATAATAAAAATTCTCAGTAAACTAGGAACAGAAGGAAACGTGTTCACCTGATGGAGGCGAAATCCCGCAGCTCCCGGCTACTCGGGGGTGAAAGAGAGAACGCTTTTCCTCTGAGATCAGGAACAGGAGGAAGATGCCCGCCCTTTGCCGCTTCTGTTTAACATCGTCCTAAAAGGCAACGAGTGAAAAACAAAACAAAATAAAAGAGTATCTAGATTGGAAGGGGCAAGGTATCGTGTCTCTGTGCAAAGGTGACATGACCTTGTACACAGAAGAGATTCACTGAGAACTCTTTTACAGCTGAGGGTGCAGGCCTCAGAAGCCAACTCCGCTTCTCCTCAGGAAAGAGCATTCCTTTAACCTGAAAGTCTAAAGGATCGAGTCAGCCTGCGAAGTGTCCCTCGGTCTCAAGTGACATTCTCTGAGCACCTCCCTGCTGGATAGGGTTTGAACTCTCCAATTTCTTCCAAGTTCTTCTTCTCAAACTGAACCGTGCGCATCCTGCAATACATGCTTAGTGAGCATGTGAGTGTCTGAAGGCACAGATTAAGTAGAGCACCGCCCTGGAGCATCGCTGTCTGGGAAGGTATTTTTCAGGGGAAAGTATTACTCTAACATGAAGACACACGTTAAGTCAAGTAGTTATGAGGCAAAGGGCATTGTGCACATAAAAGCGGGGGGTGGGGGGCAGCACTGAGCAC